AAAAAAAAAAAAAAAAGAATGGAAATGGCCCTTAGCTAGGGCAAGGGGTGAAAACACAAAATTCTGATTTTGCAAGGGCAACCACTATTCACGTGAATAGTGGCTGCCCTAGCTCCCCCCTTGCCATGGCTAAGGGCAATATGGGTGGAGTTGCTCTTACAGACTGGAAACTGCTAGACAGACCCTTTTCAGTGTTGGTCACGTGGAGAGTGTTAAGCATTAACTTGAACAACAATTGCATGCTGTTGAATGTAGAAATTATAATAAGTTAACAGTTTGGATAGTGAAATTGGCTATAAAGCCTGAACTTTTAGGTTTAATTTTGATTATGGGTATAGTAGTTCTGTGAATTGTCTAAATTAGGGCTTATTAATGTTTTGTGAATGGGGGGATCAGGTTTACCGTGAATAATGGGGTTGTTGTCAAATAACATCGCAAGAACTCTTCCTAAAAATCTCAGTCACTTGACAAATCTTCAAGTGTTGAATATGGCATGAAACAATCTCCATGGTCCAACCCGGCTTTATCTTCTATTGATTCTCTTGACTTGCGAGCTATATTTTTTAAATATTATATTTAAAGCGTATAGCCGGCTGTACTATTTAAATATTCGAACATAAAAGGTACAGCTGCGTACAATTTAAATTAAACAGTATAGCCGCACGCACGGCTATTCCATTTGAATATTTGAATATATTTATGTCAGCTATATCCCAAAAGCTTTCTTCCTTGCTGTGAAAATGTTGGCGTTGAACTCTCCGAGTATGCATGTGAGATTTCAGATCACTCTCACTGCGTTGAGCAAGAAAATGGGTCTCAGCTCTCTCTCTCTCTCTCTTGAGAAGGAGAAGACTGTGAGCAAGTCATCCCCTTTTTTGAGCTTATAAAAATAGCCCATAGAAAATGGGTCAACTTTCGACCAAAAAAAAAAAAAGAAAATGGGTCAACTTGACCTGACCTAACTATTGAGTCGTTGACCATGTCCAATAGCTAACCTCATAAATAATTTTCGTGTAAGAAGACACGCGTTTTCAGAGATTCCTTTAGACAGATTAAGAATGACCATTTTCCCTTTTTTGTATTTGGAAAGTTAAAGTAATGGGAATGCGTGGGGATTAGGTGTAAATAAAAGGGTTACCACTTGTCTAACAGGTAAAAAAAGAAAAGAAAAAAGTTTAGCACTTAAATAAACCATACATTAAGGTTTGAATTTAAATTAGTAGTTGTAGACTTGTAGTAAAGAAGAAATCATTATAATTTTCTTTCAATGATACTATTTGTAGCACCTATCTTTCCTCTCCGATTACAAGTCTCATTTTCTTTGATGTTGATTTGAGAGAAATTAGGTAAAGTTATTGAGATGAGTGAAAATAATATTTTAAGTTGAAAAGTCTTCCCCCAACATTAGTGCGCTTTGTTGCGCAACTTGTAGGTTTGTGCAAAGTTTATCTACGCGGTTGTGTCTTGGGGAGGTATGTATGTGCGATGAACGAGTCTGAGGACTTTGACAAAGACGAATGACAAATATCTTTCCCTTAGAGACTTGTTTCAGTCATAGAAATGACCATTTCCCATTTCCCATTAGGCTGCAACTAACTAATTCAAAGGGGAGGGGATGGAGTGGACATGGGTCAACAGATAATACGATACGAAGGAGAAAATGAACCCAACACACACAACCCACTTGATACTTTTTTTTTCTTGTTTACCAAATTAATTAAACAAAAGCTGCTAGTGGAAACACAAAAGCTGACGTATTCGGGCTCATAAATATCACATCACCTATTCCATTTCCAAGACTTGTAAAACAGAAATGACGTAGCATATATACAGTACCTGTATTTCTTGTATTCATATTTGTGAGCGTTGAGGCAAAATTCAAGTTCAACGTTGGACAACTAGAAATGACGTAGCATATATACAGTTCCGACCAAGGATTCGGGCTTATAAATTTGTCTTATTCCATCAGAGCTTAAAAACAGAAAGAAAAAAGAAACCTAAGAGATATGGTTTCCCAATTCCATCTATTGCCTCAAACATTTGCCATTATATTCTCTCTTCTTGTATGCATATTTGTGAGCGTTGAGCCAGCCATACCAAAGCCAAGCATTGCCACGGACAAGGAGGCTTTGATCTCATTCAAGTCAGGGGTCAGTCTCCCCCCATCTTTTTGGGACCAAAATTCATCTCCATGCACCAACTGGACTGGAGTTGTTTGCAACAAACTTGGCAACAGAGTTGTTGCTCTTCATCTTTCCGGCTTGGGACTTACAGGCTCCATAAGCCCCCATATTGGTAACCTCTCCTTCCTCCGTTCCCTTCAACTTCAAAACAACAAATTAACAGGAAACATTCCCTCTCAAATTCTCCACCTTTTCCGCCTGACATCTCTAAACTTGAGCTCCAACACCATACAAGGTCCCCTGCCATCAAACCTGACCCAATTGACTGCCCTCCAAACACTTGACTTGGCCTCAAATAACATCACAGGAACACTTCCTGAAAATCTCAACAGCTTGAAAAATCTTCAAGTCTTGAATTTGGCACGAAACAATCTCCATGGTCCAATCCCACCATCCATAAGCAACCTCTCTTCCACCCTCACACATTTGAACTTCGGCACAAATAGTCTCAGTGGTACGATACCGAGTGAATTGGGTTTCCTTTACAAACTCAAGGAACTTGATCTTGCAGGTAACCAACTCACTGGGACTGTTGCCCTGTCCATATACAACATCTCTTCTCTAGTTCTCTTCACCGTAGCTTCAAACCAACTGTGGGGTGAGATTCCAAGCAATATTGGTCACACACTTCCAAATCTTCTATACTTCAGAAATTGTATCAATCAATTCACGGGAAAAATTCCAGTGTCTTTGCACAATATCTCCGGCATTCGATCAATTCGAATGTCCAACAACTTTCTTGAAGGAACGGTTCCACCAGGCCTAGGGAATTTGCCATTCCTTGAAATGTACAACATTGGTTTCAATCGGATTGTTAGCCACGGTGGTGATGGTCTCAGTTTCATCACTTCCTTAACAAACAGCACCCGTCTCCAATTCCTTGCCATTGATGGTAATCATTTAGAGGGTGTAATTCCAGAGTCTATTGGAAACCTCTCCAGGGTTATCGAAAAATTGTACATGGGAGGGAACCGCATTTTCGGTCACATACCCTCCTCAATTGGTCAACTCAGTAGCTTGACTTTGCTTAATGTAAGCTACAATTTGATCTCTGGCGAAATCCCACCTGAAATAGGCCAGCTGGAAGAATTGCAAGTGCTTAGTTTAGCTGCAAACAAAATGTCTGGTTATATTACAAACTCCTTAGGTAATCTCAGAAAGCTGAACAACATTGATTTATCCAGAAATTCCTTTGTTGGCCATATACCCCCTTCCTTTGCAAACTTTCAGAAGTTGCTTTCCATGGACTTATCCAACAATTTGCTCAATGGAAGCATTTCTACAGAAATATTTCAAAACCTCCCTAGTTTGAGCACCATTCTGAATTTGTCTAACAACTTTCTGAGTGGTCCTTTGCCTGAAGAAATTGGGCTCCTAGGAAGTGTGGTCACTATAGACCTCTCAGACAACCGCTTGTCTGGATTGATCCCCAACACAATTGGAAAGTGTACAAGCTTGGAAAGATTGTTGATGGCTAGAAATAAACTCTCTGGTCCTCTTCCTAATGTTCTTGGAGATATGAGAGGTCTTGAGATTCTAGACCTCTCCTCAAACCAGCTTTCTGGGTCCATTCCTGACAAACTTGAAGACCTACAGGTCCTGAGCTACTTGAACCTCTCCTTTAATCACTTGGAAGGAGTAATTCCTAAAGGTGGAATCTTTGTTAAAAATAGCTCTAGTGTCCATCTTGAAGGCAACCCAAAGCTTTGCCTGCATTCGTCATGTGTGAATCCTGGCGGTCATAGGAGAAAAGTACTGATCCGAG